TGTGGAAACCAAAGAGGTGCATGTCTGGACAAATCACTGAATCTAACGGCATACTTTGACACTGACATAGTGCTGTGGTGCAACTACTCAAACTCCAAGCGCCATGCATCTCGAATGGTCCGAGAAACGAACTCTCTCAAGAACATCTCTGAGAACTGAGTCCATGAAAGTGAAGCTGCATCGGTTAGGCTACCCAACTCGTATGCTCACCACCACTGATATGCCGCTCCCATAAGCCGGAATGTAGTAAAAGCAACCCTACTTGTCTCCATATTACCCATAGTTCGAAGAATACAGTGGCACTCCTCTAGAAAACCATATGCATCTTCTGAAGCCAAACTACTAAAAGTAGGATGGTGATACTTCTTGAACCTCGCAAGTCTAAGCTGTTCTTCCTCAGATGCTACTGCCCTAACCATAGGCTGAACTGGAACAATAGGTTGTACCGGCATGACACCTGGAACCTGACCAACGTGGACTCGCTGCTTTGGCGTACGGGTGGTAGGAGTCTGAGCTCCTCCCCCGATCTATAAAGTAGTTGGTGCAACCAGAATCAATCCCTGCTTGAGCCAATGTACCAAACATGCTCAGGAATTGTGCTAAAGTCTCCTGAAGTCCCGGGGTAACAACATGCGCCTCCGGTACCTGTTCTGGAATAGAAATAAATACCTAATATCCGTACAAAATAGAAATAAATACTACAAGGTGAAATTTTAGAAGGTGACTTCGAGGCCTGCGAACGCAACAGCATGTATATCTCCACAGCAATGCTCGATCAGTTAGCTAATGATCAATAAACATCTGCGGTACCTGGATTTTCACAAAAAGTGTGCAAAATCGTAGCATGAGTACACCACAGCGGTCATGCTGTTGCGTTCGCATCATTTACTGAAACATATCAAATCAACCCGGAATGACGTCAAATTTTACATTCAAGTTTTAAATGACACAACGGAGCTATACCCACTCCTGGAATCAAAATCCAAACCCGATATCAACAAAGTCAACTCTCGGTCAAAGCTCTCGACTTCCGAACCTTCAACTTTTCAATTTTAACCAAATTGCATCACTTAACCTACGGACCTCCAAATCCAAATCCGGACACATGCCTAAGTCCAAAATCACTATATGAAACTATTGGAATCATCAAAACTCTATTCTGGAGTCGTCTTCACAAAAGTCAAAACTCCGGTCAACTCTTTTCACTTAAGCTTCTAAAGCAAGAATCCTTCTTCCAAATCAATCCCAAATTATCTGAAATTCAAATTCGGCCACACACGCACGTCATAATACATAATACGAAGCTGTTTGAGACCTTAAACAACCAAAAGGGATGCTAATTCTCAAAATGACTGGTCGGGTCGTTACATCCTCCCCATCTTAAACAAACGTTTGTCCTCGAACGTGTCAAGAATTGTTTCGAAATTATCAAATCACTGAGTGTACTCACCATACATGTACTCGCGGATGACCCCACATCATCCAATCCACATAAGCCCGACAAAACCAACTCCATTGAAGATTCTTCTTCCACTAAGACCAATAAGCCTTAGAACCAAATGTTTCACCATCTCATCATTTCAAAAAGACCTGATTCCCACATCAACACATGGTATCAGACTCAACTAGCTGCAACAACTCGTGCCTACACCCTCCATGTACAAACACACGACGTAACACATCACACATATGCCCATAACAACATCTCTGATCACGATGGCTGCCCGAAATCAAATCCAGCACCGGCAATTAGCCCCATATCAGCTAGAACCATGTTCCAAACCTTCACAACACTGTCAACGATTCAAAAAATGTGGAGACCTCGTAACCATTCACCCGAATCAATAAGTCACATCTAACGCCACTTGGGCGCACACCTCGCAAGCTAAAACCCAATAAGCACCACGCGAATATAACTGAATATACAAGGAAATACATGAAAGAACTATCAAGCAAGCCCGACAGGCAGAACTCCATATCAGTACCATACTATAAGTTAATTTAACAAGTGAGAATCAAAGTATATGAACAAATTGCAAGAATCTCATCCTAATATAACTCCACCGCGGCCCGTAGCCCGGTTCAACATATCAAATCACATGAAGACATGAGGATTCAATCCTCATCTCTGAATCACAAGTATTATACATATCATACCAACCAAAACCTTTCACTAATTCAATTCCGCTAACTAAAAAAATAATCACAACATATATCGGACCCCTACACCGGTAGAGGATCTAAATCACAAATCTTAACCAACCACCTAGAAATCACATCAAAACCTACCGTAATGGGTAACATAAAGTCACTTTAAGTTTCATAGCTCTCAATAATGAATAAAACGAATCGATAGAAACGGGCTACCACTATAAAATATCCCAACAGGGTTAAACGCATAAGCAGAGTACAAAATCACGAAACTGACCCATATATGAAGCAAAATAAGAGGACTTACCCCGATAAGCAGAACCGAAACAAAATGCAAATGATGCTCCTTTATAACAAATCGAAACCATACATGTACGACATCAGCTGGTGCAGCGGCCTCATCCCTACCATAGAAAGCATAACAACATGCCGGCCTCCCCCTCTTGGGCGCCCTCTACTCTCCTAACCTGCACCCCAAGCTAGCGGTGCAGGGATATTAGGAACTNTACAGCGGTACCTAGTAAGCATCAAGACTAACATCAGTAGAGTAGTGACGAGAGACAATCAAGACACCTACTGGAAAAAACCTGAATAAGTATGAATGTGAACTAACAGAGAAACAATTAATATAGAGCTAAGCATGGTAAGGAAGACAAAACAATACTTGCAATGAAACACTAGAAACAACAATTTGCAACAGTAAACAAACAGGTAATAATGTTGTAGAGTAAGATGAACACGGTTTAAGTTTGGTGAAACCAAATAAAGGAAAACAAGTAACAACTCAATAAGAACAGCCGCTTTTACACCAGATTTATTCAAGAATTTCCACGAGGTACTAAACCCCATAATCACAATTCACGGGTCCTAACTCATGAACCCTAATCACTTAGCATCTTTTGCCCATATTACAATTCATAACCGCATGGACGACTCACGTGCCAAGATAGTGACAATACCTAATATCCGTACGAACAACTCACGTGCTAACAATAACAATAATTCATGACTGCACGGACAACTCACGTGTCAATAGAACAACTCTCCCACAGAAAGCAAGTAGACTAGAGTACATGTAATTGGTAAATAACATCGGGATTCATCTTCTTAAACATATATGGGTGATTAATTATTTGTATGCTTGTGCAAGTGTTCTATCACAATTCAGGTCAACAAGTAAGAGTAGAGATAATGAATGATACACAAGAAACGATCACCATAAAACTGTACAAGGTATAACTCATACAATGTAGGCATGTGATGACGTCCACAACACACCTTTATAGGAGATATGATACGGTCGTATGCAATAATAGTACCCAACAAGAATCGGGGTCGATTTCCACAAGGAGTTATAATGGGTGTTAGGAGTATATATTTGATTATCTTAGATTTCACTTCCATAATAAGGTTTTGTTTTCTATTTCTACTGTTACTCTAATGAATGCATGCTAAAGAAAATAGATTATAGATAAATGTTTTTGAGATTTTTCCAATTGGATTAAAGGCCTAGGGCTGTGACCATAACTTAGGTGTTTGCCTAATAGGATAAAGATGTTTATACTTGTTTTGTTAATTGGGGTGTATTATAGGTCTCAACTCCACGTTACTGACTCAATACCTCTCGGTCAGAGAGTGATTTTTTCCAATTTAGCTTTCTCAAATCCAAATGGGTGTCAACTAAAACAGCTCATAATAACTCAAGTCGGATTCTTACTATCTCTAGTTTGAACCCTTTAATTAGGTTAATTAATCTCTCAATTAACCCAATTCATTATTAGTTAAGTTATCCTGGACTATGACCCTCTTTCTCAAGTAGAGACTAAGTCAAATAGGCATGAATCAATGTTTGCAACCATTAATTCTAAAATTGAAGCATGAACTAAGCTAAATAATCAACACGCAATCATAAACAAGCATAAAATTAATCACCCATAATGCTTACACACTAGGGTTGGGTCACAACCCTAGTAAACATCTAGCTACTCATAATGGGATCTGAAGAAAATAAAGATGAAAAACTAATTAAACTTATAATGGAAGATTAAAATGATGAAATATAATGTTAAAATACTCGAGTAAGCTAAAACTTCAAAGAGAAATGGCTACAGCAGCTGTGTATGTTCAAACTTGACCTAATTTTTTGAAACTCGTCTATTTATACAGGGCCAAAAATTGATGACAAAAATGCCCCTCGGGAGGTTCTACGGCCGCACAGTTCCATGTGCAGTCTGCAAATTTCTTCAGTTGGCAGGAAGGTGAGTACTGTAGCCGCATGTTTTTGGACTGCGGCCGCGAGGCAATCTTCTGCGGCCGCATAATTCTTGTGCGATCCACACTTCATGAAGGTTCCTGGACATAGTCTTTTTGCATATTCTATGATCTTTGACTCTTAAGCACAGTTCTGCGACCGCACATTGCTGAAAGTCCTGTTGGGTATTTCTTCTTTATTTTTGGCCGCAGATGGAATTCTGTCGTCCGCAATTTCTTCTACGGACCGCACATTTGTGCTTTTACGCCCTTATTTCCTTGTGCTTTGGAATACTCCTTTTTGAGTCGGATTTCATCTTGGGAGACCAAACTTAAGTCTTTGCTTGTCCTCAAGCAAATAAATTAGTTCCCACCTCCAAATGTTAAGGGTCATTTCAACGAGTCAAAGGTGAGCCATCCACACATCAGTTGGGACCAACAATTACCCACATTACTCATGTATTATCAACAAGGGCACAAGGCGACAAGTTAAACATTCATGCACATATAGTTCTAATGTGACATTTGAGCTTCAAGAATTAACTTGTTCTAATGTGACATTTGAGGTTCAAGAATTGACTTTACTCATCAAGGACTCTTGCTCTATCATGTAGGTCATGGTGGACTCCAAACTCTTCCTTCTCTACTTTCCATTTGCCTAACTCACTTAAGAAATTTAGCACTCAATCAAAAGATTTATGAAAGGTTCACTCATCTCTCTCAAGAGAATGCCACAAGTACGGCTTCAAGTACCATAGGCTTGTCCCTCATATAGATCGCCACTAATGTAAGCTCACTCAGTTTGAAATCAAGTATGACTTTTTCGGGATGTAATGAAGGCTTTTGGGTTAGGGTAGGATACCGTATGGGTAAGTGGTTACACCTTTCCTTAAGCACTCCATCTTTCATTTCTCAGCTCACACTTTACCAATTCTTAGGGGCACTTTCTTTTCATTGTGGACTAGAGAGACTTAGCATCACTTTTTCTTGATCATTTTATTCTTCTTCTCCCTTTTTGATTTCTCCATTTTTGGGATCATTACATTAATTTGAATACCTTTAACCCTTCCACTTATTCACGTTTTGCATCTTTATTTTTGTTCTTTCTTTTCTTGCCTTTTCTTCTCATAGAGATCATTTCTTTTCTCTTTTTGTGCCTTGATACCTTTTTCAAGTTTCTCATCTACNCTAGGGATAATAACATTGGTTGGCAATAAAAAACTCAAACGGGCCAAGGAGAGCCTACAATCACTTCTCAAACGAAGCAAAACATAGGATTTCTCCTTGAAACACATTCGGGGAAAGTTCTAGACCCTTCGCACGGATACTTGGACTAGCAACAATTCATCTCACCCCTAACGCAACTCGATTGTAACAGAGGACGGAGTCGAGGTCCTACAATGACCATATTCAAGTTTAAAGATCACTATGGTCCACTTAAACTACTCGATGATTGCCAAAGTCAACACAAGAGTCACAAAGTCACTAACTAGAGCTATTGCTTTCAAAAACCTTGTTTCTAACCATAAGCACGTAGTTAAGTGTGTTGGTGCCAATTGAAGCATGGTTGACTCTTCGAGCACGACTTAATTATGTATATTTATTCATTATTACTACTATTATTACCTAAATACAAAAATGGACTCATTCCCTTAAGAAGGTTTTCACGCCATCCATCGTTGGGATGAGTCATCCAGTTCACACAACAACTACCTTTGGAATGAACCATGGCATTAAGAAAACCAAAGGCTTATTATATACTAAAACATAAAAAGAAGCTACTAAATCAAATAAAAAACTAATAAAGAAACAAAAATAAATAAGCTAATAAACAAAAACTACTGAAGATAGAATGAATATTCATAATGAGAGAAAGAGAGAGAATATATATACATAATAAGAAAAGTGAGAAATTAAATCAAGTTATTACATGCCAAATGTCTTAGAATGTATCAAATATAATAAATAAACTCCAACCCCTGAATAAAGATAAGCATTGTCCCCAATGCTTTACAAAATAAGAGTAAAAGAGGGGAATGACTGAAGAAAACTCCCTATGGCTCCTTGGACATCCTATGTCCCCGGCAATGTCATCGCCCTCAGGCTCAGCCAACTGAATCTAATCATCTGAAAATCTGGGTGTGGCTGGGTTGGCAAACATCTAATGTACTGCTTCAGTAGTGTCGGCAGCAATGGCTGGCTCTTCAGACTGGCCAGCTGGTGCCACCGGTGCAGATGGTGCTGTAGGATCTGGGATAGAATGGTCTAGGTCAAGCAGCATGTCAAAGGGCAGATCTCCGGCTGTAGCAAGCTTGGTCACCTATCTCCGGAGATTTTCCACTGACTTCTTGCTGTCTTGGGACTTTCTCATCTTCTTTACTTTTTTTCCAATCTCTTCGATCACTAGCCCGTGTTGTACCAAGGTAGCCATGATAGTGTTCTGGTTCTCTAGGAGCTTCTTCAATGTCTCTTCAATTGTCGGTGGAAACTGAGGTGCCTGAACAGAAGACTGCTCTGCAACAGTACTTGATAAGTCAGACAACTTTGCAGTGGTTGTCTGCATCCAGTTGTTGAGGCTCGCCAATGTTTGGGAGACTCGCAGCGCAGAAAGTGGGACAATAGGCATAGGCACTGGCTTCATAGCCGAGGTGAGAGCTATGGCAGGAACTGCAGTAGGGGTTGTGGATGATGGCGGAGGCATAGCTGCGACACTGGAGAAAGGTTCGTCCGAAGAGGATGGAACATCAACTGCCTCAGCAACTACCATAGTTGGCTCATTAAACTGGCCCGTGGTTGTAGGAGGCTGAACTTTCTTCTTCGGATTGTTTGCATCCATCAGTGAATACCAAGTAAAAGGCTTCTTCAGCTTCACCTTTGTGTCATAACCCCTCATCTCTACCCTTGCATCCGTACGATATTATGTAATAGTGTTGGACTACAGGTAGGATAAGTCATCTTGCCGAGCAATCCTTGAGATGTTGTCCGACAACACGACACCCACATTAATAGGGTACCCGGCCATAATAGAAGCCACCAGAATTGCCCGAGAAATAGGAAGGTAAGTCTCATTCTGACTTGGGTCCTATCTGCTGCAGACAAAGGTTTGCTACCCCTTCGCCTCGAATCTCAGAGTTCTCCAGTGGATAGAAACCCCAGTGGAAATACATGGTGGTGGTGGCCCTGGTGCTACTAGAATCTCCGCTAACCAATGTCAGGTTGCGTCTCCTAATGCATACTTCTCCAAATATTCCTTTGGCTCAACATCTTCGAAGCCCAAGTACGTGTTGAGTGTATGCTAATCAAATCTCACTTTTAGGTTATGTACTTTAGTCACTTTTGTCCCCTTTTTTGATGTGAGCCACATTTGCAAAGAATTCCCAGATCAGGTACTCTTTCACGTCCATTACGGTTTGAGTGAACCACATCCACCCCTTGCGTTCCCTGAACTGTCTCAACACTGCTGGGTTGTACCTCTCCAAATCTTTTAGTAGAAACTATCGCTCAAGGGTTAGCGATCTTACTGGCCACCATGTACGAAAGCTTGTGAAGGAAGCCAAGCTAACAAATCGGTCTCCCAACCCTCTTTCTTCTTCGACCTTTCAAGGCTGGCAGTTGTAGCATCTCCCCTTCTGCCATCATCGGGGATATCATGAACTGGAGCATCCTGCACCTCAGGGAGGTGTAGCCGATGGTTCTGAAGCCTGACTATCACTCTCCAATTCCTCGAAAATTCTATGTGATGAGGACAGCTCATCCCTGAGTTTGCAGCCTTCACTGTATGGCCGACTGCTCCTGAACAGAGGCTTAGTTGCCCTCTGATGCTTCCCTATACGGGACATATGAGCTCATCTCGGAGAGATCTGCACCTCTCCCTCTGACGGCTGTAGATTTCTTTGTAATTGTCTTTTGCTGGCCAAGGGGTAAGGCACTCTTGCCTCGACCCCGATAAGGTTTACATCTCCCTTTAGATGTGTTGTCGTGTCCTTTAGATCGAACCATTGTCTATATCAAGCAAAAGTGATTGTTAGTTGCAATTCAATGTTCGGACATACATAAGAGATATGCAAGTAAGCTATAAAATAGAAGACACAGTGAGGGTACACAGTCAAAGCATGCTTGCAGGAAACCAGATCTGCGGTCCGCACAATTTTCTTGCGACCGTAGATGATGACTTGCAGACCGCATAATTCTGTTTTGCAGCCGCAAGAGTCAAGTGCGGTCTGCATAATTCCACTTGTGGTCTCACCTCTGAGACCCAATAAATGCCAACTCTCTGATGACAAAGAATTGGCTTATGTGCGGCCGCAACACATTTTCTGTGGTCCGCACAATTAAACTTGTGGCTGCACATTGGAGTCTCAAAGAATGGACTCTGTGATGACAGTAAAATTGCATTTCTACGGTTGCAACAGGAATTCTATGGTTCGCACATTTTACCTTGTAGCCGCAGATACCTTCTTCACTAATGCTGCCCTAAAATCAATTTCTACAGACCACACAAATTCAGGTGCGGCTGCAGAATTAAAAAAATTACGAACAATTCAGTTGTTGCATTGAAGTTATAATTCCCGACAACATTAACTTCCTCAATTGAGTCTTGACACTCATGAGTATGGTTCCCTATTCCACATATATCACACGTTGCATGGGGCTCATCGTATATCGAGGCTAAGGTCAGCTTCCTTTTTTCCTTAGTCATGGCATCAAGCTATACCTGCACAGATGTGTTAGCGTCGACTTAATGAACACCAGTTGATCCTCTTCTTTCAGCAATTTTAGAGGGCCACTGATTTGCATCCTCAGATAACTCATCTAGAATTGTGACTATCTCCTCTGGAGTCTTTTTCATCAACGTACCTCCAGCTACATTGCTCAATGTTCTACATGAGGCCGGTGTCAATCCATCCCAAAATCCTGGAGTTGTATCCAGATTTCAATTCTGCTATGTTGAAACTTTCACACTATCTCTTTAAACCTCTCCCAAGCTTCAAACACAGTTCCAGTCCCGTTCTTGCAAAAGTTATGGATTTCTCTTCTAAACTTGCCCGTCTTAGCTGATGAGAAATATTTGTTAAGAAATTTTCTATTCATCTCATCCCATATTCTAATCGATCAGTTAGGCAAGCTTCGAAGCTAGTGTTTTGCATAGTCTTTGAGGGTGAAGGGGAATGACCTTAACTAAACTGCATCTTGTGACACACCATTATATTGGAAAGTGTTCATAATCTCCTTGAAGTCCATTAGATGATTGTTTGGATCTTCGTTCATCTTTCCTCTGAACACACAGTTGTTTTGAAGAGTTTAAAGCAACCCCTACTTTAACTCAAAATTGTTAGCTGCAACTAGAGGTGGTCTCACACTTGATAAGCCTTGGTTGTAGACCGGTCTAGCATAATCGCCCAGTGATCGCCCAATATCGGGAGCTATATTTCCGAATTGGTCTGCACCCAAAAGTTGATTCTGAATAATTCTCCGAGCCCTTTCCTTCTAATAGACAAGTTGTGCATTTCAAAGAATTGTCTCCTTAGCATCTCGTGTAACTTTTTCTCTTTGCTGGGTTGCTTCGCTTGCAGCCCAATCAACATTATCCTCATCTCCCGCCATAACTTCCTTGGTTGAGGATTTCCCAACCTTCTCTGTATTCTCGGAGAGATTTCTTTCCTTCCTCAACTGTCACAGTTGTTTCTCGATTTCTGGTTCATATGGGAGCACTTCTTTCCCAGAGGATCGATTCATGAACCAATCTAACATGTAGCCTACGCACAGTCAAGTAGCACCAAATGTAAAAAGACAAAAATAAAATAAAAATAAAAATTCATGAATTAGTACCACAAACTATTTCAAACACTATTAATTTTCAATCCTCGGCAAAGGCACGAAATTTGACGAGCTTAAAACAAGGTATGGAGACATCTATACTTATCATCCTAAGGCTATGAAGTTTAGGAACAAATTTCACTTCTATTCTTCTCTGTCGTGCGATCTTATTTTCTAAATACTAATTGAACTCTTATTCTCTCGCAGATGGAGAGAACACATATTGCATCTTTAGCTGGGCAGCAGTCAGAGCCTCTAGTGGCAGCTCCTACGAGGGGCAGAGGTCGAGGCCGAGGCCATGCCCGAGACCGAGGCAGAGGCAGAGCTCAGCCCAGAGATCGAGCAGCGGCACCAGCGGTGGAGCCTCAGGTAGAGTTTGATGAGGAGGTTCCAGCCCAGGATATGCCTATCAGACCAGCTCAGGTCCTGGAGGGGTTCATTGCCACCCCAGTGCTTCAGGATGCCTTGGTCCATTTGGTGGGCCTTATGGAGAGTGTGGCCTAGTCTGGCGTATTTCTCATGGCACCAGCCGTCTCTCAGGCTGGATGAGGAGCCCAGACTCCTGCAAATCACACTCCGAAGCAGATGGCTCCCTAGTACTAGACTCCGGCAGCTTATCTAGTCAGAGTAGTTCAGCCGGTTGTTGCGGCACAGACCGGTGATGGGTTAGTTACGTCTTCTTAGGCTTTATGGAGATTGGACAGGTTTACCAAGCTTCTTCCAGTTCACTTCAGTGGTGCACCTTCAGAGGATCCCCAAGAGTATCTTGACAGTTGTCATGAGGTGCTACGGAACATGGGTATAGTAGATACCAATGGGGTCAACTTTGCTGCATTTCAGATGACTGGTTCCGCCAAGAAATGGTGGAGAGATTATTTGTTGACCAGACCAGCTGGGTCGCCTACTCTTACTTGGGACCAGTTCTTTCAGCTCTTCCTAGAGAAGTTCCTTCCTATCACATTGAGAGAGGAGCACCGCCGTCAGTTCGAGCATCTCCAGCAGGGCAGTATGACTGTTACTCAGTATGAGACCCGTTTTGCGGATTTGGCCCGTCGTGCTCTTTTTCTGGTTCCTACCGAGAGGGAGAGGGTAAGGAGGTTTATTGATGGACTTTCTCAGCTTATCAGATTGCAGATGGCTAAGGAGACTGGGAATGAGATTTCTTTTCAGGCGGCTGCCAATGTCGCCAGGCGGGTCGAGATAGTTCTTGCTCAGGAAGGTCAGGGGTCTGACAAGAGACCACGTCATTTCGGTGGGTTCAGATATACCTCATCTGGAGGTAGGGGTACTTTTGGTAGAGGCCATCCTCCCAGGCCGTTTAATTCAGTACTCCCAGGCCCTCATATGCCTTATCTCGATCAGCTAGCCTACAGTGCACCACCAACTCCTATTAGTGCACCTCCGCTCCAGAGTTTTCAGGGTGGTTACTCAGGTCTACAGGGTCAGTTTCAGGGTCAGCAGTCATAGCAGCTAAGGTCCTATTATACTTGTGGTGATCAGAGGCACATTGCTAGATTTTGCCCTCGGGCATCGGTCAGCTCACAACATCAGGGTTCTCGTGCCATGGTTCCGACACTAGTTGCTGCACCACCTGCTCAGCCAGCCAGAGGCAGGGGTCATGCAGCCAGAGGTAGAGGCCAGACTATTAGAGGTGGAGGTCAGGCCGTTAGACGTGGAGGCCAGCCAGCTAGAGGTCATCCCCGGGACGTAGTTCAGAGTGGTGGGGCTCAGCCCCAGTGTTATGCTTTTCCAGACAGGCCTGAGGATGAGTCATATGACACTATTATCACACGTATTGTTTCGGTTTGCAGTAGATATGCTTCAATTCTATTTGATCCGGGTTCTACTTATTCCTACGTGTCGTCCTATTTTGCTTCATATTTGGTTTTGCCTTGTGATTCTTTGAGTGCTCCTGTGTATGTGTCCACACCTGTGGGAGACACTATTATTATAGATCGTATTTATCATTCGTGTGTGGTCACCATTGGTAGTCTTGAGACTCGTGTAGATCTTCTACTTCTTGATATGGTCGATTTTAATGTCATTTTGGGTATGGATTGGCTGTCACCTTATCAT